TATATAACTACAATGTACCCATACTGATTCAAGTGAATAATTTTTTTAAAAAACATGGTACCCCTGGGCGACACCTGTGGCTCAAGGAGTAGGGCCTGGGCCCCATGTACCAGGGGTGGCAAGTTCAAGCCCTGCCCCAGCCAAAACTGCAAAAAAAAATGGTACCCCTTGATTTTTCTAGATAGAAGTCATACTACATCCTCCACTCCAATTACTCATATAGCCTATTAAACCCTATTGTATATCATGATACATATGTACATATCTTTCTTAGTGATTAATAATTATGTTGTCTCCCTTTTATACCACTCACAATATATGGCACAATACTTTGAGCATAGTAGATTAAATAAATATTGGTTGATTATTTGAAGTCACAAGAGACAAAGGCAGACCAGAAAGGCAATGCCTATGCTACTTAATATATATTTAAAGATGAAAGAGAACTTAGAAATCATCTAATGTTCCCTACATTTTGCAGATGAGAAAGCTGAAGTCTGGAGATTTTTCTCAAAGTTACATAATTAATTAGTAGCATCCTAAAATCTAGACTTCAGATCTACCTTCCCATCCTTAGCTTTTCATAATACATCACAATGACTTTTTTTTTTTTTTTTTTGAGACAGGAGTCTCAAGCTGTTCCCCTGGATAGAATGCCATGGCATCACAGCTCACAGCAACCTCCAACTCCTGGGCTCAAGCAAGTCTCCTGCCTCAGCCTCCTAGGTAGCTGGGACCACAGGCGCCCACCACAACGCCCAGCTATTTTTTGATTGCAGCCATCATTGTTGTTTGGCAGGCCTGGGCTGGATTCGAACCCGCCACCTTGGGTGTATGTGGCTGGCGCCTTAGCCACTTGAACCACAGGCGCTGAGCCGACTTTTTATTCTCTATTCATCTGTGAGTTTTCCTTGGCTTTGGAAGGACCTTCCAATGGCAGGGATCAAATCTGTTCACATAGATACTTAATCATTGCTTCTAGGTAATATGTATGACACGTACAAGTTTCTTCATACACATTCCACCGAACTTAAATTCTTCTTCAGCAAAATCTGAGACATCCTTCTACCACCAGCTCTTCCACTCATCCTGCTGTCAGAAACCTGTATAATAGTGATCCTTTCCCTTCCTTCACCTACTGTTTTATTTCTCCAGAAGTAGGGAGGTTTACTGGTGGCTCACAGTCCTGTGTTGGGGAGCTGACTTAGCAAGGGAAAGTAAAAAAAAATAAAAATCCATCATGGGCAGTGCCTGTGGCTCAAAGGAGTAGGGCACTGGCCCCATATGCCAGAGGTGGCAGGTTCAAACCCAGCCCCGGACAAAAACTGCAAAAAAAAAAAAAAAAAAAAAAAAATCCATCAGTCCACCAGCCCATCATAGCCCAGGAGCTTGAAATTTAACAATCACAACTAAATACAGAAGCTCAAGGCTGGGCACCCATAGCTTAATGTTTAGGGCACCAGCCACTGACACCACGGCTGGTAGATTCGAACCTGGCCCCGGCCTGCTAAACCAAAAAATAAAATAAAATAAAATAATAGCAGGGCATTGTGGCAGGCGCCTATAGTCCCAGCTACTGGAAGGCTGAGGCAAGAGAATCACTTGAGCCCAAAAGTTTGAGATTGCTGTGAGCTATGACACTACAGCACTCTACCGAGGGTGACAAAGTGAGACTCCATCTCAATTTTAAAAAAATACAGAAGCTCAAGATCTAAGAATAGAGTTTATCAACAGTGCAAATCTTCAATGTGCAGAAAATTACCTGTCTAGCAGGAAAAAAGAATCCCAAAAAGTTAACACCAGATAGAACCTTAGAGATCATCTACTTCTCTTCCTGATTTTTCCAAATGAGGAAACTGGAAATTTGAGAGATGAAGTTAACTTGTACAGTTACCAACAAGTTGGTAGCAGGGCTAGGACTAGATTTCCAGTCTCCTGCCTCCAAAACAGCTGTTCTTTATGTACTGGCAACATGTGCATCTAGCAAAACATCATCATAAAGTAGCCTCATCTTAAGCCATCAGGAATGAAAAATAGACTATTCAAATCCTTCCTCTTCTCTCTGGTGACATTTTCCTTTGCATTTCTTTCTGTGTTCTCTCTCTCCTCTGTTTCTGTGAATCTCTTTGGGATTTGAAACTGAACTATGTGTGGCATGCCTGCATGATTCTCTTAATTTTTTTCTCTAAGCTACTGTTTTCCTGTCCAAAGGCGAACACATATAAGGCAATCAAGACTCTCTTGGTGACCTTTATGGAAAAGAATACTTGAAATTTCTATATGAGAGAAGCTGAGCCTCCTTCCTAGCCTATCCAGTCAATTAAAATGAGTCTCTGGCCCCTTCGAGGGTTGTTAACCAATCCTGAAAAAGGAAAGATCAATCTCATTTCTCCGTCATCGCTGTGCAGGGAGGCTGCTAACCAGTCAGAATCTGCCACTAGCAGTTATCAGAAAAACTGGCCAATCAGGCCAACCTTGTTACATGGTCTGGTAAGAAAAGAAAGGGATTGATTGGAAAGGATAGTTCTGGCTCCACACCCTTTCCTTCCTGGACCCCAGTGAGACAACGGAAGAACCTTTCCCCAAGTCCATAATTGACAGGATCCCGAGATCCTCACCTAATCTTCTCTTGGACTATCTTTTGTTGTTTTCAAATTCATTCCTCTTCTCACATACGTCCATCCAATTTTTGTAGTCTCACTGCACCCCTATGGATGTAATTTCTGTCTTCAAACCCTGTGGAACTGGCCCCCAGGATTCTCACCTTCCCCACAGATCTCTGCTCACCAGCATGTCAAATAACTTATTTTGTATGATTTACATAGGTGAGAAAGTTTTTTAAGTGATAGTTGAATCTCTTTCATGAGATACCATCTCAAGGGCCTTGCAATAAACAGTCTCCAGGGAGCAATGCAGATTTGAGTTGCAACACTCCTAACTATAATAATAAAAGTGATGATGACGGTGGTGATGATGACGCTAGCAATTATTGAACTCTCACTGGGTACCAAGTACTTTGCTAAAAGCTTCATGTACATTATCCCAATATTGGCTGTGGGGTGAGCACTATCATTATTCCCAATTTACATAGGAAAAAATCGATTTAGAGTGATTAAACAGCTTGCCCAAGGTCACACAGTGATTTGGGAACCCAGGTCTGTCTGAATCCAGAGTCATCTGTGGTATGGAGTTAAGAGAGTATTAAATGTTGCAGGCTGGATGTAATAACTTTCAGGAGGAGCCAGCTTCTCAGCCCTGGTGGATGTGAAGCTGAGAGCCTTGTTGGCGGGATGGCGGTGTCTAGGGACTTGAGGAGATAAACTCAAGTCCTTGCTAGCCTGGCGTCCCTTTTTTCCCAGCAGCATCTACACAGTATCTGGCACTGCTTGATACTTGGGTAAATACCTGTTGACTGAATCCCAAGGGTCCCTGTCCTATTCTCCACTTTGCCGCCCGCTCCAGGTGCAGTCAACAAGCAGAAGTGGACAGAGATTTGGACATTTCAAAAAACCTGAGAGAATTCTAATCGAGCCGGAACCGTGAATTTAGGAAAGGCAAAGCGTCCCCCACCCTTCTCTCCTCGCCCGCTTCTCCTATTTCTCCCCACTCCTTCCCCCTCCCTTTCAGGGGCTTAGGACCATAAAAATGCAGATGGAGGATCGGTGTGAAATAACGGGCCCATATAAATCCCTCTGCCGCCCGCCTGCAAGATGGATTGGCCGCATTGAAATTCCTCCGCGAGGATAATTAAACTCGGGGCCTCATCCGGGCAAAATTACATTCCTGTAATGGCGTCGCTCGGGGTCCCGGGAAATTGCTCCGCGGGCTTTCAGCGGCGGTTTTTATCGCCGGCCGGGGTGTGCCTGGCTGCGGCTCGCCTCTCCTCCGGGACCGTAAAGCTGCTGCCGTGATTTATCCTCCCCTTCTCCCAAATCCGATTAAATGGAGGCGCTCGGGGCCGGGCGCTGCGGGGCCGGGGAGCCGGGAGGGGCGGCGGGAAGGACGGGGCCAAGGAGGGGAGGACAAACGGCCCCACAGAGGGTGGCGGATTTGGCTTTATTTACAGCCGCGGCTTTCTTTTTATTTTTTATGGGGGTTTGGTGAGCTTTTTCCCATCGTGCATTCAAGCACGATGCCGGGGTGGCTGGGGTTTGGAACTGGGTAGGCCTTGCTGCCCTTTTCCAAAAGGGAGGTCGGGTTTTGTCGGGGAGACAAAGAGGCCTATCAGAAGAAATGACGGCCAGGAAGCCCCCCACTTCCTTCCACCAGGGGAAAAGCACGACGGAGAAGACAGGGCTTTTACGAGAGCACCTCCTGTGGGGAACTGTTAGCTCTTGCAGGTGAAACCTGGGCAGAGGCTCAGGCATCCCTGGGGTGACTTCGACTGCTTACAGGTGCCCATTATTATGAGTCTGTCCCAGGACTAGGGAAAGAGAGCTTTAGACATACTTAGCCTCTATCTCCAGCTCGGTGATGCTGGTTTTTTTCATGGCTTATCATCGGAATCAGAACAAGGAAAAGTGGGGGAAATGTGAGCCACCAGAAGCAAGTTGGACATTTTGTTGACTTTTCGCCCATTATAACGGTTTTTCATGCAGTGATGCCAGGGCCCCCGCGTAGTAGAAGGTAGGAATCCCAAGATTACACTACCATTTCCATTTTAGGTACTGAACCTCAAGCCTGACTGTATGCTATTTAACGCGAACTCTCAGTAGGGTGGTTTTGTTGGGGGTTTTTTTTGCAATGTTATTGCGCATGCTCGGAAAAGGACGCAGCTCCCAAATCCCAAATGCCATGCACACCAAACCGCAGGCCACGTTGAGGATCGGCTTACTTGGTGGAGTTGGCCTCATTTCTACAGTCAGCTCCGCCTGTAGTTTCTCCTCTCAAACGCCAGGTGGAGCAATTGGCCGGGTACCGCCACACAGCTGACTGGCGGCGCTGTGGCGCCGGGGCCGCACTCCCACATTCAACTCTCTCTATCCATGACCCACCGACTCGTTGGCCCGGGCCACGCATGCGCTGAGCTTTCCTTTCGCTATTCCCGCCCCCCGCCCCTCTCTGTCTTCTCTGCACTGGAAGCAGGTAAGGCTTTGGGGCTTCGCGCCCTCTCCGTGTCGCGCAGGCGCGCGGGGCAGCCCACCGCGTACGGATCCTTTGAGGCCCTTACCTTGTTTACTCCTACCCGGGTTCTCGCGCCCTCCCTAGCTCCCGGTGTCCCCGCGTCTTAGAACTGCCTTTTCCGAGTGCCGGTGACCTCCAAGCGCGCGGGCCTGGCGCCATCTTGGATGTCTCGTGGGGTGGGGGGAGGTACCTGGGAGCTGGCTAAAGTCAGATCCTAGAGTGTTCATTGTCAGTCCGACCCATCCCTTACAGACCCTCTTTTTTCAGATTGTCCCAATCCCCAGACTTTTACCCTATGTGAGTTTTCTCCCCTTCATTCTGACTCTTGCCTTTCTTTACCCAAGTTTCTAGACTTTGGCCCCAGGAAATCTGGTGCTCCAAGCAAGTAGTGGGGATAGTGGGTTGTATGAAGCCACCAATTCCTCTAGTCAGCACATTTCAATTTAAAAAGTAGATCATGAATTCAGTAGAAGTGACCAGAACAGCCAAAACTCCCCTTCCCATCTGGCCGTGGCTTGCGAGAGCCAAGGCAGAGAGGCAAGTGTCTTTAGAACCACTGGTTGTTTTCCAGTACCTTTCTCTTACTTCTCTGACACTGCGGTGGTGAGCTGGAAAAGACGATTTCTGTTAGAGACCGCAGGGCCGGAAGAATGGGTTAAGGCCAGACATAAGACCCTCCACCTGACACTTTTACTCTCAACGGGTTTATGAACCTCCCCATAGCCGCCGTTAAGAGGGAAAAACGGTTTAAAGAAAGGAATGGTTAAGTTAGCACTACCGTATCTCTGACACATCTACACTGATGAAGAAACCCATGATAATTAGAAGCCTTGATTCTGGATAGTGCCTTTGCCCCAAGTTGTAGGCAACCATTTGCACACTGGACACGTTTAGGTGGCTGGTGGGAGGGGCTGCACTTTGTGCAGGCTCTCTTAATTGCCACTCATTTTTGTGGGCCATGCCAGCACTACATTAAGCTCTTTACATATATTAATTGTAAATGAGCAAATTTATTCCTTCTAAGAACTACATTTTACAAATGATAATGAGATCTAATTGCTTTGGGAAAAAGCCCTTTTCTAAAAGATTTAAAGAAGTATTGGATTTTGGCCCAAGAAATCCTGAATATTGGGCAACAGAATTGGGCTAGAGTTATATAGGAAGAAATCAGAGTTCTAGACAGAGTGACATTGTGTGTTCATAGGATAAAGGAAATTGTTGTAGACAGAACAAAAGTTGAAGACATATATTAAAAGTAACTAATATCGGCTCAGTGCCTGTGGCTCAAGTCGCTAAGGCGCCAGCCACATAACACCTAAGGTGATGGGTTCGAGTCCAGCCCGGGCCTGCCAAACAACAATGATGGCTGCAACCAAGAAATAGCCGGGCGTTGTGGCGGGGCGCCTGTGGTCTCAGCTACTTGGGAGGCTGAGGCAGGAGACTCGCTTGAGCCCAGGAGTTGGAGGTTGCTGTGAACTGTAATGCCATGGCACTCTACCCAGGGCTGTGAGCTGTAATGCCACGGCTCTTTACCCAGGGGGATAGCTTGAGGCTTTGTCTCAAAAAAAAAAAAATAAAATAAAATAACTAATATCCTGCCCGCCAAACAATGATGGCTGAAACAGAAAAATAGCCGGGCATTGTGGCGGGCGCCTGTGGTCCCAGCTACTTGGGAGGCAGAGGCAAGAGACTTGCTTGAGCCCAGAAGTTGGAGGTTGCTGTGAGCTATGATGCCATGCCTCTCTACCCAGGGGGATAGCTTGAGGCTCTGTCTAAAAAAAAAAAAAAAGTAATAACCTAGGGCTGGGCACAGTGCCTCACACCAATAATCCTAGCACTCTGGGGGCCGAAGTGGGTGGATTGCCTGAGCTCACAGGTTCAAGACTAGCCTGAGCAAGAGCCAGACCCCATCTCTAAAAAGAGCTGGGTGTTGTGGCGAGCACCTGTAGTCCCAGCTACTTGGGAGGCTGAAGGCAGGAGGATCACTTGAGTAAGAGTTTGACACCATAGCATTACCGAGGGCGACAAAGTGAAACTCTGTCTCAAAAAAAAGTAAGATCCTATATTCAGAAGTATAACCTGGGACGATTTGAGTTCAATTCATGTATATGGAAGTGGCAGTTTGACAGGTTTAAGCATTCACTAAGTATTTCAGCCTGTGGCCTGTAAGAAAGCGTGTTAACACATTGCTAACCAGTTACCTGGAAACATGGATAGTTTCTAGGCAAAAAATGCTGGCCAAGGGAGAGGCTCAAATGGCTGGGTGCAGTAGCTCATGCCTGTAATCCCAGTACTTTGGAAGTTGGGTGGCTGAGGCAGGAGGGTCACTTGAGGCCAGAAGTTGAGACCAACCTGTGCAACATACAGAGACCCTGTCTCTAAAAAAAAAAAAAAATTAAAAACTGGGCATTGTGGCAGGTGCCAGTTGTCCCAGCTACTTCAGATGCTGCAGCAGGAGGAATGCTCAAGCCTAAGAGCTTGAGATTACACAGTGAGCTGTCATCAGGCCACTGTACTCCAGTCTGGGCAATAGAGCTAGACTCCATCTCTTTAAAAAAAAAAAAATCTGAGTTCAAGACCTGCTTCTACCACTACCATAGTTTCAAGATGGTGCTACTGTAGTTAAGTGTGCCTAATAATCGTTTGGGAAATACAGAGCACTTGGGCCTTAGCCCCAGAGATCTTGACCAGGAAGGGCAAATGTCGGGCCCAAGAATAATGCATATACCACCCATGTTCCCAAATAATTTTGGTTTAGATAGGCTTCTCACTTCACTTGGAGAAACCTTGCCTTTATGTCTTTAACTTGCCCTCTTGTCTCAGGTAAGTTCAGTACTACCAACTTACAACCTACAGAGTACCAGGCCTTGTTTAGATCTTGGGGATACCCAGTTTAGTACTCCATAGTATGATAGTGGGCAACAAATAGTTTAATAACCATTTCTAAACATAGTAGAGCTCCTCATTGATCTGCTTCATCCTTTAATTAATATAGGAAATTGAAGTGTTTTGAGGAATCATGTTCTTCCAGGTAATTCATTAAAGATTGCTAGAGATTTTCTGGTATCATATTAACAAATATCTTCCAAGACTAAAGACTCTTAGTCTTTAAAGCACAAGTTTTTAAGGCCAGACAGTAAAATCCTGAGAATAGTTCTTTTTAAATAAATTCAGAAAAACTTAGGCAAAGGACTCTCTGGAAAAATTTCTTTGACAACCTCAAATCATGAGGCTAAGGAAATGGTCCTAAAGCTGTTACCAGGTGACTACTTATTCAGACTAGGGGAAGTCGCTAGATTGTAAGGAAACTATGGAACTTGTGTGACATTTCTGGAGGAAAATGATGACTTGAGGGTTTTAATTCCACCTGTGCTCATGACTTAACATCAATCACTCCGGCTTGGCGCCTGTGGCTCAAGTGGCTAAGGTGCCAGCCACATACACCTAAGGTGGTGGGTTCGAATCCAGCCCAGGCCCACCAAAAAACAATGATGGCTGCAACCAAAAAAAAAAATAGCCAGGTGTTGTGGTGGTCCCAGCAACTTGGGAGGCGGAGGCAGGAGACTCGCTTGAGCCCAGGAGTTGGAGGTTGCTGTGAGCTATGCCACGGCACTCGACCCAGGGGGACAGCTTGAGGCTCTGTCTCAAAAAAAAAAAAAAAAAAATCAATCACTCCACTCTCTAGACCAGTTAAGGTTTCTGGAGCACCTCTGGTTCTAATAAGGATGTAGTTTAGTGAGCAAGGACAGTGTTTACAATGCTGCTTCTGTAATTCCAGCTTTCCTGCCAAAGCCCCTCACCCCCGAAAATGTACGCCTGCTCAAAGTTCATCTCCACCCTCTCCTTGGTGAGTACCTACTTTTTCCATGATAGCACAAGTAGGTGCCAATCTTGTCTCTTCCTTAGTATCAGACCTTGTTCTTCTAGAGGAGGGTGAATGAGATTCTTGGGAGAGAAGGCCCTATGCTGTGTAGCCTAACAGGAAAGTGAGTGATTGCTAGATGCTCCCTTGCCCCGTAGCCCTAAGCAGCCAGTTAACTGCTCTTATCCACCCATCATCGGTATTGATAAGAATTTAAACCAAAATTAGGTTATTCCTGATTCTGAAGGTCTATGTTCCTTGTAAACTGGAACCCAGCCAAGGTGGTAAACATAAAGTAGATTATATAACTTAGGCTAAGCATGCACTGTGTATAGGATCTTGTCCTGAGTAAGCCATAGCTAGGAGTTCATTTGATATTTAAATGCAGGAGGAAAACTAAAATACACATAAATACATACTGGAAAAATCGGAAGAACATGGAAGAAATTAAAAATTACTATAGTGGAGGCAATTGGTTCATCCGTAAGTTAAAAAGGAGTGCGGGCAGCACCTGTGGCTCAAAGTAGGGCGCCAGCCCCATACGCTGGAGGTACTGGGTTCAAACCCAGCCCTGGCTGAAAACTACAAAAGAAAAAAAAGGAGTGCTACTGGGCCAGTGCCTGTGGCTCAGTGAGTAGGGCACCGGCCCCATATACCTAGGGTGGCGAGTTTGAACCCAGCCCCTGCCAAACTGCAACCAAAAAATAGCTAGGTGTTGTGGTGAGTGCCTGTAGTCCAGCTACTTGGGAGACTGAAGCAAGAGTATCACCTAAGCCCAAGAGCTAGAGGTTGCTGTAAGCTATGATGCCACGGCACTCTACCAGGGGTGACAAAGTGAGACTCTGTCTCTTAAAAAAAAAAAAAAAAAAAAAGGAGTAATACTGTTAGTGCTATTAATAGGTACCGTTTATTGAGCACTTACCAAGTGCCTAGAACTGAATTTCTATACAGTTTGTGTATATTGTAATCTCATTTATTCTTCAAATCTGCCCTGAGATAATATTGTTCCCATTTGATGAGAATGCAGGCTTAGAAAGATTTAAGTGACTTTCTGAGTGCGGTGGCTCATGCCTATAATCCCAGCATTGTGGGAGGCTGAGCCAGGAGGATTGCTTGAGCTCAGGAGTTCAAGGCTTGTCTGAGTGAGAGTAAGACCCCAACTCATGAAAAAAATGGAAAACCCAGCCAGGTACCTGTAATCCCAGCAGCTTTGGAGACTGAGGCAGCAGGATGCCCACATTCTGAGTCTGAGGTTGCAGTGAGCTACGACGCCATTGCACCTGCTCAGGGCATAGGGTAGAACTCTGTCTCGAAAATATATATATTTAAGAGACTTGTCCAGAGATCACACAGCTAATAGGGAGTTAAGATTTGAGTGTGGGCTGGGTACAGTAGTTCACATCTATAACCCCTAGCATGCTGGGAGGCTGACACAGGAGGATTGTTTGAGTTCAGGAGTTTGAAACTAGTCTGAGCAACAGTGAGATCTCATCTGTACTAGAAATAGAAAAATTATAGCCAGTCATTGTGGTAGGCACCTGTAGTCCCAGCTACTTGGGAGCCTGAAGCAGGAGGATTGCTTGAAGCCAGGAGTTTGAGATTGCTATGAGCTAGGCTGAGACCAGAGCACTGTAGCCTGGGGCAACAGAGTAAGACTCTGACTCAAAAAAAAGATCTGAATTCCAGTCAGTCTAACTCTCCATGCTGGCTGTTAACCACTGTGCTATCTGTTTTTGGAGGTACTGGCTTTGTGGTTAGTCAGAAAAGGCTACCAAAAGGGGGTAAATTTTGAGCCTGGATCTTTGCACCTATTTTCCAGAAAGTGTGTTCAGGGAAAGATGCCCAGTTGTGGGCTTCCTTCTTGTGGGCCTGCCATTACTGATACAGTTGGTCGCCAGCTTAGTTTAACTTAAGAGTTTTTTGACTCTTAATGATGATATAAAAGTGGTATGCATTTACTAGGAACCATACTTCTAATTAAGAATTTTGATCTCTCCCCAGGCTAGTGATATGCAGTATGGTACTCTACAGTGTACTGTGCTGCCATATGATTTTGCCCAGTTAATGTAAGCATTTTAAGCACATTTAAGGTTAGGCTAGGCTAAACCATAATGTTTGCTAGGTTTGGTGGATTTGAATGCATTTTCAACTTCTGGTGAATTTATCAGGCCATAACCCCATGATAAGTTGAGGAAAGTCTGTCTATCTGTGTGTATGTATATATCTCCTTTGTTTAGTGAAGCAAATGTTTCTGAGGCTTAGATTTCTTACTCTCAAGGGCTGTAAGAGGGTATTGCAAGAGTGGATAAAGTAATCCATTCTGGCCCAAAAGGAAGTAGACTTGCTTTCCTTAAAGTAAAGCCCAAGAAGCAAGAGAAGTGACATGGTTCTTGAATCTAGACTTTGCTAAAAGTAGGAAAGCGTGATCTAAGATTCTGATTTAAGCGTGAGAATGGAAAGGGCATCAGAGGAGAGGAGATCATTTCTGATGATGTAATAACTTGACATCCACGACCTTCCTGCCCTGTGTCATCCCTGCTAGGTCAGGAGCACCTCTCAGCTGCTGAGCCGACCACTCTCTGTGGTGGTGCTGAAGCGACCAGAGACACGGACACGGACACGGACAGATGAGGTACCTTTCTGTTCATTTGGGACTGTGGCTTTGGGGTGAGGGCTGGGGAGGGTTACCTGCCAGAACCAGCAGGGGGAGTGCTGGGGACACAGACTAAAATTAGTGAAGTGTAAAGGCCATTGGCTTTAGGTGGAGATGGAAGACAGTTAAGACAAACGTGTATTCTGGTGCTCCAGCTTTTGCCAGTGGCAACACAAGCCCATATGTGCTACTGCTAACTTGGCCTAGTCTACTGACTTCAGTTGGGAGCATCTAGTCTCAGGAAGATGGATGTCTTGGGGCACCAGAAATTGGCCCAGGGCCTCAGGTTAGGCCACACCTGAATTGTGAAGGCATTTGAAGTCTACCTCCTGCTTTGAAAGGTTCTTTGCTAGCATTTGAGAGTTGCCAGGGATCAGACAGCATAAAGGGTTTTTAAGTTTCCAAAGCAAAATTGTTTCAAAAAAACTTTACCTTCTACCTGCCTCTGATTCACAGAGCTTCAGCATCTTGGCAGCCTCACGTTCCCTGACCTCACTTGTCCCTAGCCGCAGCTTCCAAACCAGTCCTGTTTCAAGGGACATCGACACAGCAGCCAAGTTCATTGGGGCCGGGGCTGCCACAGTTGGTGTGGCTGGCTCTGGGGCTGGGATTGGAACTGTGTTTGGGAGCCTCATCATTGGTTATGCCAGGTAAGATATGTTAAACCTTTTACTGGCTCTTTATGCTTTCCAAAGGTCTGGGCAGAAATATTTGGGGGTTGGCTGGGTGCAGTGGCTCACGCCTGTAATCCTAACACTCTGGGAGACTGAGGCAGGTAGATTGCTTGAGCTCAGGAGTTTGAGACCAGCCTGAGCAAGAGTGAGACCCCATCTCTACTAAAAGTACAAAAATTAGCTGGGTATTGTCTCAGCTACTTGGGAGGCTGGGGTGGGAGGATGTCCTGAACCCAGGAGTTTGAGGTTGCTGTGAGCTAGGCTGTTGCCATGTCACTCTAGCTTGGGCTACAGAGTCTGAGTCTGTTCCACATAAAGAAATATTTGGGGGTCTATATACTATGCTGTATAGTAGTTATTAGCTACATGCAACTATTTTGAATTTAAATCTTAATTAAAAATACATACAATTTAGGTTTTTAGTCACACCATATTTTAAGAGCTTAGGAACCATAGGTGGCTGGAGACTACTATATTCAACAGTGTAGCTATAAAATGTTTATATTGTTGAAGAAAGTTCTATGAACAGCTTTGGTCTAGAGCAGAGATTGGCAGACTAAGGTCAATTTTTGTGTGGTTAGGCTAAGAATTTTTTCTTTATTTTTAAAAGGATTGTTTTGTTTGTTTGGTTTTAGTTTTTGTTTTGAGACGGAGTCTCACTCTGTTCCCTGGGCTAAAAGTGCAGTGGTGTCATCGTAGCTCACTGTAGTCTCCAGCTCCTAGGCTAAAGGGATCCTTTTGTCTCATCCTCTTAAGTAGCTGGAACTGCAGGTACCTGCCACCAAGCCTAGCTAATTATTTTATTGTTTGTAGGGACAAGGTTTTGCTATTACCCAGGCTTTAAATTTTTTTTTTAAGGTAATAGAGCCCATACCTGGCTCCTAAAGGCTAAAATATTTACTGTCTGGTTCTTTACAGAAAATTTGCCATCCCATTCTATAGCCTCAGTGAACAGGGCTTACTGTTTGGGGGAGGGGGGTTGGTTGGTTGGTTTGTTTGTTTGTTTTGAGACAATCTTGTTCTGTTACCCTGAGTACAATTTGAATTTAAATTCAAATTAGTGGCAGTGTAGCTCACAGCAGCCTCAAACTCTTAGACTCAAGTGATCCTCTTACCTCAGCCTCTCAAGTAGTTGGGACTATAGATACCCCTGACAAAACGCCTGGCTATGTTTTCTTTCGGTTTTTTTTTTTTTTTTTTTTTTTTCACAGATCCTCAAGCTGTGCCCCTGGGTAGAGTGCCATGGCATCACAGCTCATAGTAACCTCCAACTCCTGGGCTCAAGCAAGTCTCCCACCTCAGCCTCCCAAGTAGCTGGGACCACAGGCACTCGCCACAACGCCTGGCTATTTTTTGGTTGCAGGCGTCATTGTTGTTTGGTGGGCCCGGCCTGGATTTAAACCCACCACCTTAGGTGTATGTGGCTGGTGCCTTAGCCACTTGAGCCACAGGCGCCAAGCCATGCTTTCTATTTTTTAGTAGAGACAGGGTCTCACTCTTGCCCAGTGTGGTTTCCCAACTCCTGAGCTCAAGTGATCCATCTGCCTCAGCCTCCCTAAGTGCTAGGATTACAGGCATGAGCCACTGTGCCTGGCCCATAGTGGCTTACTATTTTCCCCATCTCTGGGAATTTCCCCATCACTCCTGGGAAAACAGGCTCTACAGCCAGCCCTTGCTACCTGACACCTGGGACTATTTAGTCTCCACCAACTTTGGACAACACACTGTTAGAGCTGAATTAATCCTTAAGAGACCAGCAAGTTCTCTTAATGTCTTTGGGGAAATAGATGTTTTTTAGGATGTGTATTTCAAAAGAATTCTGTGGCTCAAGTGGCTAAGGCGCCAGCCACATACACCTAAGGTGGTGGGTTCGAGTCCAGCCCGGGCCGCCAAACAACAAATGATGGCTGCAACCAAGAAAAAAAATAGCCAGGCATTGTAGCGGGCACCTATGGTCCCAGCTACTTGGGAGGCTGAGGCAGGAGATTTGCTTGAGCCCAGGAGTTGGAGGTTGCTGTGAGCTGTGATCCTATGGCACTCTACCCAGGGGGACAGCTTGAGGCTCTGTCTCAAAAAATAAAAATAAAAAAGAATTCTGTATCCACAATTCTGTTAAAAGCTGGTGGTGCTTTACCTTAACCACCAAGACTTCCAGAGGTGTCAGGTTAAATGAAATAACAAATTAATATATTGAATTTCAAAGTTGGAGGTAGACCCTTTTTCCTATTTTAACTCATATCATAAACCCCACAAACCATGCATAGCTTTTTAAAGCCTAAACTCTTACTGTTTTCAAAGGAGAGAATATAGTCTGTCCCTCTGACTCTTGTGTCCTAAGGAACAGTGTTTTTCTAATTGTGTTCTATCAAGCCCAGGGATTCTGAAGATGTACCCAGAGGCCAAACAAGCCTTTAAAATGTCCCACTTTTGTACCATTGCAGTTTGGCTTTTGTATGTTTGCTATTTTGGGGTCATGCTGCTTGAAGTGTGACAACACTGCTCCAGATAGACTCTGTTCTGGATGCTTCCGCCATCCTGTTTAGACTCCAGATATTAAGTGTCCAGGCTGAGAGGTCTTAAGTTATGGTAATGATAACTTAGCACAAGAAAAGGTAATGATTTTTTTACTTCTTTTTTGTTCTTTTATCAGAAGATAGTGATTGTCCCTGGGCCACATTACACAGTTGTAGATTGTCCATTCACTGCTCATTCAGTTCCTGTGGAGCCCTTGATGCTTCAGGACAAGGATTTGGGCATGATGATGTCACCCCGAAAGGCTTGCTTCCTTTTTTTTTTTCTTTTTCTTTTTTTTTGAGACAGTCTCACTGTGTTGCCCTCAGAATGTGTGGTATCACAGCTCTCAACAACCTCAAACTCTAGGGCTTAAGTGATTCTATTGCCTCAGCCTCCCAAGTAGCTGGGACTTACAGGCACCTGCCACAGTGCCGGGCTATTTTTTTGTTGTTGGTTGTTTGTTTAGCAGGCTTGGGCCAGATTTGAACCTACCAGCCCCGGTGCATGTAGCCAGTGCCCTAACTGCTGAACTACGAGCACTGAGCCCAGAAAGACTCTTTAAATAAGACCATCTTGAAGAGGGGAATTATCCCTCAGTCTACCTAAGATGTATGTCCTTCTCTTTGTGTGAACTAGAAATTCAGTCTTTTTTCCTCTTCTCCCAGGAACCCTTCTCTGAAGCAACAGCTCTTCTCCTACGCCATTCTGGGCTTTGCCCTCTCAGAGGCCATGGGGCTCTTTTGCCTGATGGTGGCCTTTCTCATCCTCTTCGCCATGTGAAGGAGCCGTCTCCATCTCCCATAGTTCTTTCTCCTGTGTCTTGTCTGCCCTGTGTATTCTTTTCCTATACCTCCCCAGGCAGCCTGGGGAAAGTGGTTGGCTCAGGGTTTGACAGAAGAAAGGTAAATAAATACTGTATTAATAAGATGTTTCTTGAGTCTCCTGTGTATATTTCTTTCCACAGTTGGCTGAGTGCCTTGGTGAGCATACAAGGCCCAGAGGGTGGTGATGGATCTAAACTCAATATGGCTCGCCTGGGCCCACTTGTTCTTAATTCTGTTTCAGCAAAGCTTCATTCAATACACACAGCTCTCCTTTTTAATAATTTTCACCTAGCATGGCTTGCTACTTGCCTTGGAGGTTAGGGGTCAGTAGCAACTTACAGTGCTGACTTAAAATGTTGATTAATGCGCTTTCTGTCCAACTGTCCTGGTTTAAGACCTCATTGTCACCCACCTGGTCTATTTTAATAACCTCTTCTGCTTTCAGTTTCTTCCCTCTAACATTTACTGCTGCCTACCAGTGGCAGGTGATCCTCTTTAAGCATAAGAACTAGTTTTGTAGCTCGGCGCCTATAGCTCAACCGGCTAAGGCGCCAGCCACGTACACCTAAGGTGG